GAAATTCCTGTGCTAGAAAGCTTCTGCATTGTTAAGTCAAGGCAAGAGGTCCGCATTAATCAGCCAAGGCAAAGAAAGGGAAGCCCAAACTTCAAGAGAGAAGAGTGTTGGAGGCCGGTCCTCATCTCAACAGGGAGAGCAGAGCCTTTTATACCCAATGGAGTTAATCTCTGACCTCTCCCAACAGGCAATGCCAGGCCTATTTTTGAGGAAGGAGAATTGGAAAAGGGAATATCGTGACTTGAAAATAAATGGCCCAATTAGCATAGAGGGAGTCCCTAATTAACCAGCAATCATCCATTACTGTAACTTTCAATTCATTAAATTGCATAATTACATAAAAACACTGTTGATGTGCTCTTCAGTGTATCTGGTATTGTCTTCTCAATAATTAGTTCCAGAATTGTCAGTTTGACAGGGCAATTAAATATGTTTAAAGACGCCATCTCTTGTCCTCCTTTGGTTACATCTGCAGGGCATTTTAAAAGAGCGGTTCTTCTTGAACAGAGTCAACCAGAGTAACAAGAGGCAACACAGGGGTTGCTACCACGTACACTGTGGATACCCTGGGTGGCATTTCTGCTACATTTCTTTATTGCTTTCAAGTTTTTCCAGGGTTAGCAATAGAAAAATCCCAGGGACAGCCAAATGCTCTCTCCGTTCTGCCCTAGTTGCCATACAGTTTCCAATCAGGTGAATGCCAGACAGATGCCTGGCCTCATTGGACCAAGTTGATCAATTATATGAACAAAACTATACAAGTTTATAAGGTCCAGCCCCATGCCAATCCAGGAAGAATGCACAGCACCCAGGCCCTGCTTAAAAAGCTTAAGAGCCTCTGGCATAGTTAGTGGAGATATTATCTTCCAAGACTGACTGTTCCCCTGGTGAGCTGCTCATACTGTCTTAAAGATTGTCTAATTTTTAAAAACTCGTTTTGGGGCCCTTTGAGACCAGAGCATAGTCACTGTGGCTAGTAGCAAGTGATAACTCTCTCCTCTGTGTATTTCTCCAATCCTCTCTTAAAGCCATCCAAAAGCTGATGGCCATCACTGCCTCCTGCAGGCGTGAGTTCCATAGTTTAACTTTGCTGCATAAAGAGAGAAAGAGAAAGGGCCAAAGGGGCCCTTCTAGATAAGGCAAACAATCCCCCCTCCCTCCATCTCTCCTTCACCCCCCTCTCTCCAGCCATCTGTCTCTGTGTGGGTCTTGCCAGATACTCTGAGGAACCAGGGCAAGAGTCCAGCCAGCTTCCCCCTGCTCTTTGTCTTAAGCATCTGGTAGTCAGAAGAAGTTCCATTCCTGGTCACTACCAGCATTGATGTATAAATGCTTTACATGAATGTACAAGAGCCTTTCTAAACACAGACCTCAGCTGTTGCCCCCTTGGCTTGCCTCCTGCTGACTCGTCCTCTCCATACAACATCTCCAGAAGAGCACCCCACCCCACCCCAATGGACCGAGAGGCCCCCAGCCCCCTCCTAGGGCCTTACCTCTTTTGGTTGGAAGCTGCACAGCCTGAGTCCAGATGGCAGGTTTCCATTGTTCTCTCATTACTATTTGAATTCACTGCCTGTAATTGCCTTGCTAAGCAGAGTAGCTTAACAATCTGTTGCAGGCCATTCAGCATGGAAGCTGGGCCAGGCGATGGATCCCTTGCCGCCTTCAAAGCTGAGTGCCTGAGTGGTTGCCGGGGAGCCTGTGCCAAGGGGCTCCAGTGTGTGTATCCAAGAAAAACAGAGGTGGAATTTGCACAGGGATGTGTGTATGGGGGAGAGGGCATTGCAAAGCCCTAGGGATCACACGGGGGCTGCTCTTTGTGGGTGGAGATGGATGGGGGCCATCTGCTCCTGTAATGCACTAGTCATCATCCTCTCTGCTCGCTGTCTCAGCACACAGGTGTTTGTTTGCATGTTTACCCATCAAGTTAATGGGCTCGCTAATAACAGTCTGGCCTGGAGCTGAGCATGACTGGGACTTGCCTTGCAACAGACGCAGAGGCTGATGTGTTTTGAGGACTGCGGCTGATCCTGAAGGAAACTCATTCCTGTTTGGGTCCCTGGTTTCTTGTGAGGTACTTTAGCCTCTCTGGAGAAGCTGTGGTTGCCACCTCCAAGGCTACAGACAAGATGATGCCTCAGAACAATGGTCCCTCCAGCCCATCAACAGATACCTGGTAGATGTTACATGCATCTCATTTGTGTGTCCAGGTTGCTGGGAGGATTTGAGGATGTGTTGGTGGCAATTATGGTACTGTTCTCTCTCTCTCTCTCTCTCTCTCTCTCTCTCTCTCTCTCTCTCTCCCCTCCTCCTCCTGTGAACTCCACATTCTCTGGTCCTAAACTGAGCTCCCCTGTTCACCCACAAGTGTCACTGAGACCCCATCTGGCATAGAGTGCTGGACCAGGAGCCAGAAGCTCATAAATTCTGATTCAGCCATGATGCTCACCGGGTGTTACCTTGGGCCATCCACACTCCTTCTCAGCTTAAAAGCTTGTTGTGAGGATAAAATGGAAAGGAGCACAACCTTGTACGTTATCTTGAGCTCCTTGCAGGGAAGGTAGACTATGAATGCAATAATAAAACAAATGAATGGTGCAGGAGTCTACAGCCAAACTAGCAACAGCAGCTCCTCAGGATGGATGCCTCTTCCTTCAGCAACCCAATGGGGACGTGGGATCCTTTCCCTGGGCCTGTGCTGTGCTCAACCTTATTGATTCTAGGAATTACCGGTAGGCCTGCATAAATGCGTCTGTTCCTTCCTCCTTGGGATGGAGATTAGTCACCCAAAATAACTCACTCAAAAGAAGGTTGGAAGTGGGGGTTTCCTGTCTCCTCCTGAGCTGCATTGTGCTTCCCAGGCTGGCTGATTAATGGCTAGTGTCACATCATGCTTGCTTGCCACTCAGCATGGGGCTCATTGCCACCCCAGTGCCGGCTCCCCTCAGGACAGAGCAGAACATCCTCCTGGAAGAGGATTAACAAGTTCATAAATTCTCTTTGTGCCACTCACTCCATTTCCCCCTCAAAGAATTTATTGCACAAAACTCTCCTCTCTGCTCATAATAATGAGATTTTAACTCTGATATGCAGGGATCGGGATGGCTGGTGTTATTAAGGGGGAATAGATGGCTCAGTGTCCAGGGAGCAGGAAGAAGCTGCCTGCTTGCGACAGGGAGGAGTTAAAGGTAAAGGTAAAGGTAAAGGGACCCCTATGCCGCTTCTGGCAAACCAGAGCATCACACGGAAACGCCGTTTACCTTCCCGCCGGAGTGGTACCTATTTATCTACTTGCACTTTAACGTGCTTTCAAACTGCTAGGTTGCCAGGAGCAGGGACCGAGCAATGGGAGCTCACCCCATCGCAGGGATTCGAACTGCCGACCTTCTGATCAGCAAGTCCTAGGCTCTGTGGTTTAACCCACAGCACCACCCAGGCCCATCATTGTTGGAAGTCTTTGGAGTGTTTTGGAACTGAAAGGTCTCAATAGGCCTGGAAAGGCTGAGTTACCCAGTGCAAGAAAGCAGAGACCACAGGAATGTTCTCAGGAGTCCTGAGCAGAGCTGCAGGACATACGGTAACCTCTGCACTCCCTACTCTGTCTCTAAGGAAGTTTTAGTCTTAAGGCATACCTGTCTTTTGGAGGGAAGGCATCATACTTGATTTTCTGCACTTTGGTTTCTCTCCTTTCTAATTTTCCAACTTGGAAAACATGATGTTTGGCAGGGTGCACTAGGGTCCTTGACTGAGGATCCTAGTTGGGACCTGCCTGCCTATGAGGCAAGTTGAGGCAGTTACCCCTGGGCAGCAGGCTCCAGGCAGCTGGGAGAGGTGGCAACTCCGTCTCATGTGCCTGTTGGCTGCTGCTTCCTCCTCTGCTGTGCACCTTTCATGCCCACACCTGCTGCAAAAGGGCTGACAAGGATGACAAGGTGGAGGATGAACAATCTTCTGCTTTGCCTCTAGTGGCAAAATGTCCCGGCCCAGGCCTGATCCTAGTATTTGTTCCTTGAGCATAAGAGTGCAGCAGTTATGCATGTGTAGACAAGGGTGTTTGGTTACAATGGACAGCGCCAGAGATTATGGCAGCAGCCCAGGTGATTATCCAGGGGAAATGAGCTGCTTTCGGAAGCGTTTGCAACTGGAGAAAAGACAGGAAGTACAGGAGCTTGTATGGGTAGCTGAAGAAGGCTTTTCAAAATATGAATCTGGCTTTAAAAACCAATTTCTGTCTAAAAGACAAGGACACAGCATCAGGCCAAAGGGGGCCCATCACATCCAATGCCCTGTTCTCACAGTAGCCAACCAGAAGCCCAGATTGGGGGGGGGGGAGGTCATGCCTAATTCAGCTGGTATTGTTGTTTGCTACACCCAGTCTCAGCCCCTGTACCTTCCCCTTGTGCCTTCAGTATTAGGCAAATTGATGGGAAAAAGACAGAAATAATAATGTTAGCTAACTGGAACCTCCCTATTCAGAGGCAGTCTACCCTTGAATATCACATGTTGGGGATGAGCAATAGAGGAAGACCATTGGCCTTCAGTTCTCACCCCCTTCAGTTTTGCTTTCTGAAATGTGAGCCTGGCTAGGGGAGGGCTTAGGGTGTGCCTATAGCATTATATATAAGCACACACAGAGAGTTTAATTTGTCCACTGGGACCTGCAATGATCTTCTTGGCAATTAATGTTCTGGGGTGGTAGAGATGTATAGGGAGAGCCCCAGGTTCAGTGAAGGGAGACAGAGAGAGCGCTTCCTATTTGCATGCCAGAAGTCTAGAGCTTGGTTACTATAGTTACTGACGGATACACGGATAACAATAGGGAAAGGAGAGAGAGAGAGAGAGAGAGAGAGAGAGAGAGAGAGAGAGAGATGGATTTCTAAATGGATTGTTTTATAGCAACAATTCTCCTTCACTTGACAGCATTGGCTGTAACTTCAGCCTGTAGAAAGTTCATGCTTCAGGAACAATTTGTCACTACTGAGGAAGTTGCGGGGGGGGGGGGAAGCCACAAGAACGAGCCTCCTGCTTTATAGACAAGAACATGATCAAGGCTGATGCTCTGCTGTGTGAAGTTGTGCATTCCCAGCAAAAAAATGGGGAAATGTGTGTAAGAGCAATGGAGCTGACTGGCAGTGCCAGTCTAGCTAGTCCAGCCTTCCTAAGGCTGACGTAGCCAATGTGGTGCTGCCCAGATGAACCACAGCTCCCACCACCATCATCCCTGACCATTAGTCATGCTGGCTAAGGCTGATGGAGTCCAACCACAACCACATTGGCTGCCTCTGATTCAAATCCCTCCTTTCAGACATTCCTTGTGGAATGAGCAGGGCAACAGCCCTGCTTGTCTGGCATGCCTAGGAGCACCTTAGCCAATGCCTGGCACACTTCATGATCCTGTGCAGAGGGAAAGAGGCAGCCACATCCCCCTTTCAGGCTCTTCTAGTCATCAAGGTACCTTGGACTCTACGCAGGCCTACTTTCATTTCCCTAGGTGGCATAGAAGCAGCTTAACCATTTCAATATTCCTGCAGAGTGAGTGAGTCATCAGCCTCAAGGCTCTTTACATAGTGCATCCTGCCTGAAGGAACAAGGATGCGAAGAGTCCTTGAGAAAGGGTGGGGGTGGAAGACCCATAGAGCTGCCATTATGGAAGCAAAATCACCTGTTGCAAGCAGGGAAGTGGGCAGGCAGTAAGGGACCTGGGAGTGGGGGCAGTGGGTTAGGATTAGAGTTTGTGGGCATTCAATGAAGCTGAATGTTGAAAGATTCAGGACAGATAGAAGAAGAAAGGACTTCTTCATATAGTTAAACTTGCTCCCACAGGAGGCAATGACAGCCACCAAAAGGATGTTTTGGGGGCTATCAATGGCTATTAGCCACAATGGCTTTGCTCTGCCACAGTTTGAGGGAGCAGTGTTTCTGAATACCAGTTGCTGGAAGCCACAGGAGGGGAAAGGGCTCTTGTGCTTGAATCCTGCTTGTGGGTTTCCCACAGGTATCTGAATGGCCACTGTGAGAACCATAGCAGCCAACTACTAGGGTCCAAGGTGCCCATAACATATTTGACTGGCTTCCCCCCACCAAAGGTTTATGGGCATTGCCATTCAAGTGATGTGTGTGTGTGTGCACCACATCATGTGATCAATTACCTCCCCCCACCCCAATTTTATTCAAGTTGGCACCCCTGGTAAGAACAGGATGTTGGGGTAGATGGGCTTTCCTTACGTTCTTATATGCTCTTGTGCTTGGGTCCCGTTTGTGAGTTTCCCAGAAGAGGCATCTGGTTCGCCACTATGAGAACAGGATCCTGGATTAGATGAGCCCCATTTGGCCCAATCCAGCAAACTCTTCTCACGTTCTTATGAGTGGAAGAGGAAACAGAGCAATTAATTAAAGCAAGTCACTTGGAACTGCAGGACAGAACTACTCTTGCTGCTGAAGAGACAAGGCTGTGCGTGGATTCTGGCAACCACTTTTAGTCAGCTAGCCAGGAATATGCAGAATTTTGCCCCGGCTGCAGAGTGAGACTTGGGTTCCTGGCGCCTTTGGTAAGCAATGCTTTCAGGAGAAGGCAGGGGCAGCACTTTGGGAGGAGGCAAACTATCCTGGGCCCAGGACAAAATCTTCAGCTCTCTCTTCTGCTGTTCTATTCTCCCCCCCTTGAACACCTCCCATGGCGTCCCATTTGTTCTCTGCCAGTGGTATTAATCCACCCACAGCCCACAGCTGGACTTAATGGGGGAAAGTTACCTAATTAGTCAAATTACATTTTCTTGAAGTCTCTGTGATGGACTCCAAGTCAGACTGGGCCTATTTATAACTCTCCACCTCATGAAGTGCAATATGCTGTTTGCACGATAAGGAAAACAAGCCACCACATCCGCCTCCCTCCTGCCACTAATTAAGGAGATTCCCTCTGTGGCGCTAATTCCAGATGCCAGAATCAGCCACTGAACCTGGCAGGCTGTCATCAGAATGAAGGGGGCCTCACAGCAAGGGAGCAGGGAGATGGGGTAAATGGGAGGGGGGGGTCTATCATCATAAACAGCCAGAAACTCCACAATGCAGGGCTCTGTGCTGGAGACACCCACTCACCATCCTTCTGGGTCCTCTTGCACTTGCCCTCTGCACTGGCTCCACATCTAACATGCCTGTTGATCTATTGTCTCATAGGGCTCTGCCTCCCTGTACACACCCAGAGTTCTTAGCACCCCCAGGCCCTTTGCTGCCTTCCTCTTCACTGAGATCATAGAGTCATAGATTTGTAGGGCTGGAAGAGGTCCCAAGGGCCAGTCCAACCCCTGCAATGCAGCTATGGAATCCCTGATAGATGGCAATCTAACCACTCTTTAAAAACCTCCAATGAAGGAGAGAGTCCACCACCTTCCCATATAGTCCATGCCACTGTCAAACAGGTCATCAGAACGTTCTTCCTAATGTTGAGTCAGAATCTCCTTCCTTGTCATTTTAATCCATCCACTCCAGCCAGCATGTCCAATGGCCAAGATTGATGGCTCAATCTGGATTAAAGGGGTGGGGGGAGGGGGCAGAATTTGAGAAGGCATTTTGAGGCCTGTCTGAGACCCTGCTGCAAGTCAGAGGAGACGTCACCAGGCTCTATGGGCAAAGAGTGTGGCTCTCGTCTCAGGCAGCTACCTGTGTCCCTCCCCTCATCCTGCACATCCAGGCCATGGAGAGTGTTTCCCCCAGAGCCTTCGTCCTGCTGTTTGCAAGGCCCATTTTTCACCTGTCACTTTCTCCTTGACCTCTGCAAAGAATTATGAGGTGTAAACAAAATTCAAATCAGGCAAGGGCTGGATGGCCCCTCTCCCAAGGAAGGGGAATGAAGCGACAGGCTGAGGAGGGCTAGAACATCTCTCTTAAGTCTTGCTTAATAAAATGTTGCTGCTTAATTGGCACAAAAGAGGATCTGGCCTTTTTGAGATCTATTCTGTGAGCTGTTTTTGAACTCTGCTCACCATCACTTGGAGGAGGGGGGGGGCGCTGGAAGAGCTCATCCCCTCAATGGCTGTTCAGGTCACAAGGCTGCTCCTCCTGAAGCCCTCTGGCTCCCACCGCTTCACTTCGCTCTTGTTTCAGATTCCAGCCAGGAAGAGGAGAAAAGGGACAAGGAGAGCAAGGTGCTTCTGGGCACTGGTCCATCTGGATGGCAAGAGAAATCCAGGGACCTGAGCAATGGAGGCTCTTTCCCCTCCCCACTCCCCCCCCAGGTCCTGAGTAGAGAACCTGGGCACTTGTACTGCAAGGAAAGGGGCTTCCAGAAAGCTGCTATTTGGAGGTGGGATTCCATCATATACTAACCAAGTCAGGCTGTGCAGTGATGGCTGATGGGGAGGTCTCATGTAGCAGACTCACTTCCCCAAAGACTGGACTTTTCGCAATAAGAAAAGGGACAAGAAAATGCACTGGAGAGGGTGGAGTAAGACCTGCTTATGTGCAACACTGTCGTCTACTATCTCACAAGCAATGCAGGGGAAATCCTCCGTCAAAGGCTGGTCTGGAAGCACCTGGAGGTGCTGAGCCACTGAGCCTTCTGTGATCGCTTTGGACAAAGCCAGTATATTTAAGAATATAAGAAGAGCTGGCCAACTCTGAATGTGGCCTTCAGACTGAAAAACATTACCCCTCCCTCTGCTGGCCTAAAGAATGTCTGGATGGGCTTGTATGTGTGTGAGAGAGATCCAGATTTGCAGGTAGCAGAGATGGTGCAACTGCAAAGGTGTCCTGGAGAAGTTTCTACTTTCAATGACTTTAGAGCCGCTTATGCAATACCCTCATGCTCGTTGTAGGTATAGGTATAATTATTTCATTACGCTTTCCTGTGAAGTGTGAAAACTATCTTTACCAATCCTCCTAAATTAGTTAAATATAATATTCGGTGAGACAGGAGATAGAGAAATGTTAATTGAAACCAGAGAGGTGTTTATAGGGTGATATAGTGTGGCCAACTGTGACTGAAATTAATGTCTGGGACCCTTGCAAGTGATTCATATCCCAGAGTTTATTAAATATTTCCACCCGCAGGTTTAGCCAGGCCAAACAACCCCTCTGCAAGGCAGGGAGGGGGCTGATAATCTCCCAGTGAAGGGGGGCAGAAAGGCAGGGGGGCATCTTAGAGCTGCCATAATTGGATTGGGCTTCTTTCTGCTGGGGGGTAGGGTTGTGAGGACACAGATGGCTGTCCCCAAATATAGCCTGTCTCCCACAGCTGCTGTCACTCATTGCCTGCTGTGGGACCCATGAAGCATGGCCCATCCATGGGGCTCCTCATACATGACTGCCCACCCCTCCTGCCTCCTCTCAAGCAGAATCTGGCAGAAGAAGGGGCTTTTCGAAGAAATGAATGTGAACTGTACTGGGAAGGGAAGGCGCAGTGGGCAAGAAACCAGGGGAAGTTTGGCCTTAGCCACAAACTGACCAGAATAATAGCATCACAGAACCGTAGAATATAACAAATAAGCAATGCAATGCAATACAATATATACAGGCAGCATAGCTGTCAACTTTTCCCTTTTATTACGAGGAGTCCTATTCGGAGTAACGGAATTTCCCTTAAAAAAAGGGAAACACTGACAACTATGACAGGCAGCCATTGTCATGAACACAAGAACACAAGAAGAGTCTTCCAGTGCTGGATCAGGTCAAAGTCCCATCTAGTTATCACAGGGGCCAAGCAGATGCCTCTTCTGGGACGCCCACAGGCAGGACCTGAGAGCAACAATGATTCTTCTCACCAACATCTTTGATCACAGAGAATTAAATCTGCTGTTGTCCTGAAGTTATGAATAGCCATTTGCTATTATTTCCTGTAAAGTTTCCAGATGTGGCAGGACATCCCCTGCAAGGCTTATTTGCCTCCAGGGTTGTGTCAGTCAGTTCCACCAGAGGTTTCCACATCTCTCCATCAGACACATCCTAGCCAGGCAGAAGCACTCAAGGAGCGGGTGGCCTGGCCAATTGAGGGATGTGCTTGGGAGAGGGGGTGGCGGTGGCCTGTGCATCCAGGTCTAGGATGTCATGTTTGAATGTTCCCCGCCCCTGAACCTCAAGATGGGTGAGCTGTGTCTCAACCTACTACAAGTCAGCTCCTGTAACCACATTGTTTGTTGACCTTCCCTCTTGTTTCTCTGGGTTCTCTGAGAATATCAAAAGAACCCTGCAGTGCTGGAGCAAACCAATGGCCCATCTAGTCCAGCATCCTGTTCTCACAGTGGCTAGCCAGATGCCTTTCTCTCTGAACATTAGGAAGAACTTCTTGATGGTAAGAGCAGTGGAATGGACTTCCTCAGAAGGTAGCGGACTCTCCTTCACTGGAGGTTTTTAAATCAGATGTTGGATGACCACCTATCAGAGATTCTTTAGCTGTGATTCCTGCATTGCAGGGGGTCGGATTAGATCAGGCTTCCTCAACCTCAGCCCTCCAGATGTTTTTGGCCTACAACTCCCTAGATAGCAGGACCAGTGGTCAGGGATGATAGGAATTGTAGTCTCAAAACATCTGGAGGGCCGAGGTTGAGGAAGCCTGGATTAGATGATCCTTGGTGTCTTTTCCATCTCTGATTCTACAATTCCATGCTTCTGCATGCACTCCTCACAGTCCATGCACAGATTGCGGCTAGCAGGAGAAATGCAGTGTAGGGAGAGCGAAAGTGTTGGAACACCTGGGGCAAAGCTGTATGGTGTGGGTACTGGTCCTGGTTGAAATATCCTTTGTGAGGATCAGGCTGCAGTTGGTCATCCTACAGAAGGGGTGGTGGCTTCCACGACAGGTTTGGGAGTGCTCAGACAGTGGCCGGGCAATGGTGGTTGATGTGACAGCATCATGTGCAAGGCAGGCCAAGGCAGGCCGCGACACATTTTCAAGATCCCAGGAGCTTCTGGATCCTGAATAAGACATCAGGCTCTCAAAGGAAGCCAGACTCTCTCTCTTTCTCTCTCACGCTATTTTGGCAGCTTCATTAGAAAACATCCCCATTAGCCCTCTCCACAGCGCAGGCCAGGCTCCAAGATGGATGAGCCTGCTAGAGCGGCTGCTGGATTCAATCATTGCAAACATTCCCTGGTCCCGGTGGGGAGCTGGGAGGCTGGCTGGGAGCTGGAGCCTGTCACCCTTGATGTATTGTTGTCACTCATTGGCTGCAGAGGAGCATTTCCTGCCCATTGGCGGCCGTCATGCCGGGCCTGTGATTCCAGAGGGCAGCAGTGCTGAATTAGAGGGATGATGTGTTGCCTGGTGACTAAGTGCTAGCAACACAGAGGAGATAGACCTCAATATGCGGGCAGCAATTACACCCACTCTGTGTGGGATTCTGGGAACAAACTTCACAGCAGGGTCATGGTCTTCCCTCAGATGTGTCCAACCGTGGCCAGGCAAGTGGCTGAAAGCAGCCAGCCAACCGGAAGAAGGCAGAGGGTGGCACATTCCGAGAGCCCCTCCATCATCATCATCATGCATCTGGATAGAAAGAGATTTTGCCTTCTGGAGTCTCAATTCCTGGAAGATATCTAGTAGATCCAGGTCAAGTGGACTTGGCAGCCCAGTTCAACTCTGAAGTTCCAGGAACAACTGACATAATTCTGGCATCTTGGAACGATCCACTGGCATCAGGTGCAGCATCACCAATGCAATTCAAAAGCAAATTTAGACCCATATAGTCTTTTATGGCTTTGACCTGCCCTGCCAGATTGGAACCTGCTTGGTCTTCTGAGGCCCTTTTCTGTGTGTCTCCAGTGGGACAGGGGTGGCAGTGAGTGGAGACACGGGCTTTTCATGGTGGTAGTGGTCTGGCTTTGCAACATTGTCCCCCTAGAAGTTTTGCCTGGCAAGTGTTGGACAGCAGCTTCAAAGCCATTCTGTTTCCCTGGGCTTTTAATGAACAGCCAGGGGAATGCTGGCTGCCTTCCAGTTTTACCTCTGGGCTGTTTCATTGCTTCTTTCTGTTTTTAGCAGTGTTCTTTTTCTTTTTTCCATTTTGAGTATATTTTTATTGTGTATATTTCTCTGAAATTACAGTCATACCTCGGGTTACAGATGCTTCAGGTTGTGTTTTTTTGGGTTACGGACCCACCAAAACCCGGAAGTACCGAAACGGGTTACTTCCAGGTTTCAGCGGTCGTGCATGCGCAGAAGCGCTAAATCACACTTTGCAAATGCACAGAAGTGCCGAATCACAACCCATGCGCGCACAGACACACTGCTGCGGGTTGAAAAAAACGCTGCGGGTTGTGAACATGCATCCTACACGGATCACGTTCACAACCTGAGCATCCACTGTATAAATATTTTAAGTATATATTCATGTGTGGGGCATGCCTTGCACTGCCCAGGATTTTTTAAGAAACCCCAAATTGTTGTTGTTGTTTTAAAAACGGACAGTTAATTTGTGAATTTGGACTTGTCATGACAAAAATTGGATGAGGTCATGCCAAAGCCATGTTTTGGTCAACTATCTTGATTCACACAGGCGCCTGGTGTCCAGACATCAACAAAGACCCCTACCCCACCTCAGAAACCCTTGTGCCAAGTTTGGTGACAATATATCAAGTGGCGGTCAAATCTATGGAAAAAAAAATGGATGAAGTCACACCAAAGTCACATTTCCGTCCACAATATTGATTCAAAATGGTGTCTGGCATACAAATAGCAACAAAAACTACCACCTGCACCTTGGGAGCCAACTGCCAAGTTGGGTGATGATCTATAGAGAGGAGACCAAATCTATGTAAATAAAAGTGGGAAGTCATGCCAAACTGATGTTTTGGTCTACCATCCTGATTTAAAATGGTGCCTAGCATCCAAACAGTGATGAAAATTGCTCCTCCCACCTCAGGAACTCTCATGTTGAGTTTGACAACAATAAGAAATGACCACACCTATGCCAAAAAATGGAAGAGGTCCCACCAAAGTCACATTTCATTTCACTATCCTGATTCAAAATGGCCCACAGCATCCAAACAGTGATGAAGACTTCTGAGCCCACCTCAGGAATCCTCGTGCCAAATTTGGCAACAATATCTCAAGAGATGGCCAAATGTATGTAAAAAAACAGGCAAACTCTTGCCAAAATGGCATGTTTTGGTCTGTTACCTTGATTCAAAATGGCATCTGGCATCCCAAGGATGATGAAGTCCACCACCTCACCTTGGGAACCCTTCCTGTCACACTGATGGACAGCCAGCCAGACAAATCATTTTCTGAAATATATAGTAGCTTGTTCATCCAGGTTCCTTTGTAATTCCTTCCTTCCTTCTAAGGTACTTTCTGCATCCAGACAAAGAAGCTCTAGGAGGAAGATCCCTTTCACAGTGAGTCAAAAGGCTGGTGGGGCTGACTAGTGGTCAACTGCATGATTGGGCTGTTGCACAGCCTCTGACACAGACTGTGGCTCTTTCCCTGCCCACCCCACCCCTGCCCTCCCCGCCCTGCAGCTACCTCATTGCTGGCCTCCCTCTTTGGAGCTGAGCTGCCTCCATCTTCCCACTCAAGAGCAGCACAAATGCTCCTTGCTGTTTGTCAGCTGAAATGATTATACCTAATCCTTTTGTCAGGTTGTTAAATTCCAATTGCAGCATCAAATACCGGGTTCCTGCAAGGAAGGAATGTGCAAGGGGAGAAATCCATTCTCCATATCAGCTTCCCTGAGCCACACACCAAACAGCCAGCCTGTTGAATCATTGCAATTCATGAGCTTGCGCCAGGTGGAAGGCAAGTCCATGGCCATTCCCTGTCCTTGGTACTTAACTGTTCCAGGGACCAGTTAATTTGGCTCTGTCATCCCTGGGGGCCCTGTAGCAGCCTTCCCCAGTGGAGCAGTGCCTGTGTGAAAACTCATGCACACCCACCCACCCACCCACCCCTTATTTCCCACACAAGCGCACATGCACACAGACGCATACGCACATGCGCGCGCACACACACACCTGCTCTTCTTGGAGCAGGTTGCCTGAGGGAGGCATTGGATCACAGAGGCAAAGGAAGCTGCCTTATACTGGGACTTCCGGGTTGGTGCGAACAGCTAATGGCGGATTCTCTCCGAGCTCCGGAGGGAATCGGCTCCGCTGGGGACGGGTCTTGCCGCGACGGCGACGCGGAGACCCTCAAAAACCGCAGGCGCGGATGCCTGCGGACCTGGTGACTCGGTGGGCACCTTAAGCGCCCCCCCGACCCACGAAGAGCCTTTTTAAAGGCTACGGAGAGGGTACGGAAGGCGGCGTGGTGCTGGGAGTAGACCGCTACCCCAGCGGAGCGGAGCCGTGTGCCATGGCTGAAGAGCACTGACTTTTTTCCTTAAATTCGGAACTCGAAAAGAAGCAACCCGTGAGTAGATTGGAATTCGGACTTTAAAATATCTATCTGTGAATTTGATACGACCGGGGATGTGTTAAAGGGAAGTCCGCACCCCCCCCTTCTGCAGACGATTTAAAGCAATAGCAGGAGAACTAAGTTGGAGAGTCTACCCCTTTGGGGTGAGTTAAAAAGACATTAACTTTCACGATTTGATAAAAGAAGTTTTGAGCTGGAGTGTAAGAGTGGAATTTTAGAAGTTTTTCTCTTGTGGTGTGTAACCCCCCCCTTCCGGGCCCGGGAGCGTCCTGCCTTTGAGCCTGTTGAAGAGGAAAGGAGTTTGACAGCTGTTAAAGCTGTCAAACGGGCAATTTAAAGTAAAAAGCGTGTTATTTAAGATCTCCCTGGACTAAATGTGATACAATTGAATTAAAGTGGTTCGAAACAAAGAAACAAAGAACGAGGCAAAGGACTGTTGGGAAAAGATTACTAAGTAACCAGATTCCCTCTAGGGGAATTCTGAGACATTACAATGGCTGCGGATGGAAATTTACTAGCTGAAATAGAAAGAATGTGTTACTTTGTGGGAACTTTACAAGAGCAGAGTCTGGCTATGAATAAACAACTTACGACCTTGACTTCTGGAATAAGCAGCTCTGCTGAATGTATTGAGGATCTGAATGAGAAAAATCTGCAGCTGAACCGGAACAGATATCTCAAGAATTGAAGGAGACTAAACAAGGAAAGGAGAAAGCACAGATGGAAAGTACCAACCAGAAGCCTACACATGTGGATTATAAACAAGAAGACCCTTGGATTACATGGATTACAAATCTGCAAAAGATGCGAAAGATGAAGGAGGAGGCCCCTGGAGTACTTGGAATTCAAGAACTTAAAAGAAAGAAGAAATATGATGGGGGCCTCCATTCTGAATATGAAGGACTGGTGGAACTTTTGCAGCAGTTGTCTCTAAGTTTTCTTGTGGGAAGAAAATCTGGCTTGACTGGGACAGAACTCCTTCGAGATCCGAAGACCAACATAAAGGACTACCAACAAAACCGGCGGAGAGGGACTGAAAGAGACTTGAAGGCCTCGGATGTGAGAAATCCAGGCTAAGAACTGTTATTGTAGAAATGTACTTGGGAAGGGACGAACCGGGGATGGGAGGGGGGGAAAATAGAATTTTAAAAACACTTACGATTTTTGGGTCTAGTCAATATGATTGATGCTTAATAAAAATGGGAAATCGATGGAAGGGAATCTGAGCCCAACTTAGGATAGAATTTAATCTTCTACAAAAGATGTAATATTAACAGGGTAAGGAGGTAAAATAATAACTTGCTGACATAATTATGGGAATTGGGATGTATGAAGGGGGGGCGGGGAAGTCAAGGACCAAAGTTAAGAAAGTAAGATTTTTGAAATTATACATGTTTTTTGTCTTTGTCTTTTACGTGTGTGTTATGTCTTTATAAAATGTGAAAAACCAATTAAAAAATTATAAAAAAAAAAAAAGGAAGCTGCCTTATACTGAGTCAGATCCTTGTTCCATCTAGCTCAGTTTTGTCCACACTGACTGCCAGGGTTTCAGCACAGGACTCTTTCCCCAACTCTACCTGGAGATGCCACAAGGGATGGAACCTGGAACATTCTGCATTCCAAGCAGGTGCTCTGCCCACTGAGCTATGATGGCCCTTCCCCATCAAGATGGCACTGATGCCCACGAACTCCTCGCCACATTGGCTGATGTTTTTACCCACACAGCTGCTCTTCCTCAGATCGCTTCACAGTCCCTCAAGGCATTTGAAAGGGCTCTGCCTCAGCTCAATCGTAGCCTAAAACCCTTTTCTTGGTGACTGTTGCAGAGGCCCCTCTCTGGCACCTAAAACTGTCAATGCCACTAAAGGCCTGGTCTCTCCTGATTCTGCTGATCTGATGGCCCAAATTGCCAGCCAACAGAGAGATGAAGGCTTGATGGGTCAGCAGCTGCTAAGCCACTAGAGGAGAAGATCTCTGACATTGATGTCGAACTCTGTGACATAGCTCAAAGAGCTCGCTCTGCCATGAATACCAGTCTGAAGCAGCAAGCCAGATTTGACTCTCTGTCTCTGTACATTTTAAAGTCAAAAAAGACTGGGGGCCTTCAAGTTTAACTGGGAAAACTTCAATGTAGTGAGTGATATTTAAAAATACACTTTAGCAGAATTCTGGAATCTGAGGAAGGTGGGAAGGTTGTAGGTTCCCCCAAACACTGATCCAAAGAGCTCCTAGCAGTTCTTCTTCCCACTGGAAGATGGTTCTGAGTGTGTGCCCCATGCCCTGGCTCTGGAACCAGCAAATATGGTGCCCAGCATTTAGCCAATGAAGGAAGACAGGTGCCTGCTTTCAGCTGGGTTTAGATTTCAACAGTTCATCATAAAGATCAGATGCCATCTGCAATGAGGAACCTGCTTCTGCAACTTAAGAAGATAAGGAGCCCTGGCTTCTGGATGAAACCAAAGCCCCATCCAGTTGAGCCCTGTGTTTGCAACAGTGAAGCCCACAAGTGGGACCTGAATGCAACAGTAACTCTCCCCCGTTGGGATTCCCAGCAACTGCCTCTGATACTGGAGGTTCTATATTGGTGCTGGTAGTCATTAATAGCCTTATAATCCATGAATTGGCCAAACTGTCTTTGAAGGCCATCCAAGTTGGTTGGCCATCACTACCTCTTCATGTGTTCCTAGCATCCAGGAAGTTGTGTCGCACTGGAAATGCTTCCAAGTCCTGCTTGTGGAAACAGTTGGGGAGCCTTGCCCCAGTTCAGTGTGTGGCAGGGAAGGGGTTAATACATCTCTGGTCTTAATTGCAGTGCAGGAGGGAGTTGGGGGAGAGTTGCCTGAGCATGCAGATCATAATCATCTCTGCCATATTTTATGCTGATATTATTTAATATCAGTGATGCTATACAAAAAGTGGGAGGACATGGGAAGCAGCTGACTTTCTCATTACTGCTTAATCTCCTCCCTGCAGTTTCTCCCCCCTGTACTTTTTAATATGCTGATATTTGATCAATTAACTCACTGGAAGTGGCTGCCTGTTTCCAGGAGGAGGATCACACCTGGGAGGCTCAATTCACTCAGCCGGAAATGAAAAAAATGCAGATCACTCACTTGGGGATCAGATTCCCAGTGAGATGGCAGCAGCAGCAGCGACTGGATTCCCTTTTGGGGCTTCCTAAGCTAAAACGGTCTCTTCCATTGACTCACCATGGAAGAGTCTCTTCAGCCTCCAGTACAGCAGCTGTTTGGATTGCTTGTGACTCAAAAGTCTAGGAAGCAGGGGGAGGAAGAGTCAGGCTGAGTTCAGAGAATCAGCATTGGCCTTTCTGAGGCTGCTCTCCTGAGTCTGGCACAACACACAGCTTTGATTTTAGACATGCTTTGGCTTGGAATGGAATTGCAGAGGGGTTCTGACTTCGTGTGTGCGCTCCTGCTCAGAACTTGGTGCAGGATATAGTTGTGGTCAAGCCTCTGCAGTTGACAAAGGGGAGAAAGGGAGTTCATATTTTTGAGGTGTTCCAGCAATGATCGGTCCTCTCAGCACTTCAGCCTGGCGGTGAATCACCTCTGCTGAATTTGTCATTTGCAAAAGGATTAATGTGTGTGTTGAGGGGGCAGTATGCTTGTAAGTGCCTCTTATCTGCAGGAAGGCACCGCGAGTCTGTTTCAGCTCCTCTGAATTTGGGTGTGTTTTGAAGTTTCCCGGGAGTGATTGACAACCCCATCCACCTCCCCATGGCTCAGAACTAAATCCTGCCTGGTAAGTTAGATGCCTGCTACATTTGCAGCTGCCAGAGAAAAGCCTCACTAGTGTGTGTGTGTGGGGGGAGGGGAAGTAGCAAGGACCCAGTCCCCCCCGCCTATCATAGGAGCCAACTCCTAGGGGCCAAGGTCACTTCACCCCCCCAATAAAATCTTTGAGGGGGCAGACCCCCAGTTGATGGGCATTATCATTCAGATGGTGTGTGTATCCTGCATCTTGTGATTGATTATGCAGGGTGGGTCTTACCTGCCCCCCCCAATTTTATTCATCTTGGCATCCCCACAACCATCCTATGTGCTTTTCAGGTGCCACCCACTGGCCCCTTTTGCAGAGAGCTTCCTCCTCCTTCACCACCTGCCCTGGTGAGATTGAGCCGTCTTTCTTGAGGCTGGGCTTTCCATCCACACCAGAAAGTTAATCTCTTCCTCTTCTCCACAAGAACATTTATCACATGGAAGTGGATTGTTGTGGGAAATATTGATCAAAAGCCTGTCTTGTTTCTTGGCGGGCTGAAAATTGAGTGCCTTGCCTAGTCAATTGTTCGGCCTTTCCAACTCTGCAAGGCAGCCAGACAGAGGCAGGGCGTGGCCCCAGGAAGATGGAGGAGGCCTCTCCCAACACCTGTGAGTGCAGGGTACTGATGTCCTTCCAGGGGACATCCTGAAGAGACAAACTTGCCTTGCAATGAGTTTGGCCAGGCTTATCACTGGGAATGTTTGTGCAGAGACCTGACAAAACAATCACAGATTTTTTTTAAAGTGCCTGCTTGTGTTCAGTACGCCCAGTCTCCTAACTGTCTATCCAGGGTTTGGTAATTTATTTTAATTTATTATATATATATAAAATAAAGCAAACTCAAACTCTAAAATCAAAGCAACTCATAAAATAATTACTAATCACACACAGAAGAAATCAGGAAATTTTTAAAAAACAAGCATGCATCACTAAATTAAATGTCTGGGTAAGGATGCTGGAAAAAATAGTTTTTTAAGCAGAGATCTAAAGCAGTATATTTATTTATTTACTTATTTTATTTAAGGGATCTATATGCCACTTAATTACCAAAATCTTTAAGTGGTGTACCTGCCTAATGTCAATCCACAGGGAGTTCCAAAGCACAGGAGCTGCCGCCTAAAAGATGGACTCCTCCTCATACATAATGAGCTGGTAATGGCCCCCAAAGTAAAAGTGAAGTGTGTGTGTGTGTACAACAATATGCACTGACTTCCACCCATCCACCTCCAGTGTTGATCCTGGCACTTACAGAAGGTTAATTTCAGATGATGAACTCAGCCACATTGTAATATTTGATTTTGCTCTGCTTTGAAGCACTTTATGCTTATTGATTTTCAATAGAGTTGCTTTTAGCTCAGCAGCCAAATGTCATTTAGGCAAAGGGCTCAAGGAGGAGACAGATTCACACTGGCTGCTTGGACACCCTACCCATATTGTGTAAAGACACTCCCTCTGCAAACAGGGCTTCAGCAAAAACACACACACAAAAAAAATAGGTGTTCTCCCTCTGGGGGAGGGGGGAAGGCTGCCGGTCAGTTGACAAAAGGGCCAGAGTCCTGCTGGCTGCACCTGCTTGGAGCCAGAGGCAGGAAGAGGAAGAAGAGGTTGAACTTCTGCCTGAACATCTGGCTGGCCCACCTTGCTAAGTGTCAGCTGCCTGCCCCAGTCTCTTCAGGCAAGGGTATGGATCTGGGCCTCTCTTCGCACCAAGAAAGTGGTGCTGGTCATTTGCACCTAGCACTGGCCTGAGACACTCTCTGCTTCAAGGTTGTCTGCTTCTTAAGCATTCTCCCTGATTTGTTTGCAAGGAGGTTACACGATGACAGCTATTCATTGATTTCGTTCCGATTTGTTTTTGGAGAGGTGAGACCACGATGGGTCAAGCCACTGCTGCCCCCTGCCTTTCTAGTGCATCTCCCTACCACTTTCCTTACTGCAAAAAGTCCAGTTTTGGGTTGGGTGGGATGGGGTTGTTCTGCAGCAGCTCAAAACCAACCTTAATTGTGGGAATTGACTCTTTCCATGAGAATGTCTCACACAGGGAGGCAGATGATAATTCGACTGCAGGAAAATGGCCTCTGACAGCCTCCCATTAATCATGATAGAAGGGGGGGGGGGAGATATTTTGCAGGGTGCAGAACTGAAGCCCCCATGTTCAGATCATCTCCATGCTTCCTACAAATCTGCTGCCTTGCCTGGGGGCACAATTGACTGTGTTTCGTCCTCCGCTCAGAAGTGCTTGTATAGATTATGATATATAAATTCTTTATTGTTCCCTGCTAACCATCTGAACTTTGATTAGGAGTTGAGTGACCTCAATTTCCCAAGCACTGCTCAGCCTTTGCGGAAACAAACATGCCGTGTTCAGCACAAACGGATGTTAATCGGTGGGCAGGGAAGAGGTGGTGACTGACTTGCAAAGCTGGTGGTGGGTCAGCCATCAGTCAGGGTTCTTCCTTTAAAAAAGTTCACATGGGGAAGGCTCAAGGCACCTGTGCTGCAAGGGATGCTTTTCAGCCTCTCAGTATTGCCACAAAAACCAAGGGGGCTTCTGGACTAATCACTCCCAGTGAGAGCTAGAACATGAGACCATATGAAGAGCCTGCTGAATGAATCCAATGGCCCATCTAGTCTAGCATCCTGGACTCACAGTGGCTGATGAGATGTCTGTACTGGGAAGCCCCCAGGCAGGACTGGGAGAGCAAAAGCAGCAATTCTTGCCCCCCTCAAGAACACCTCTATGGTGTGGGGGCTTCAACTCTGCTTCCTTCTCTTGCATTCTATTCTTTAGTGTGGTGGAGTTTTGCAATTTTAGCCCCTGGACAGTAGCCTGACTTAATGGGGCATTCCTTCAGGTGCCCCACTTTAGCTGTG